AGATAATGCTAAGGATTTATATCATCAACCCTAAACCCTAACCGGTCCCAGACCCTAAGCCCTAAACCGTCAAGGTTTCCTGTGTAAAGGGCTCTGGGTATACAGTAGTAAGAGGGGGGGGTGAGGATCGAAGGCTTGGGAGTTTGGGTTCTGGGGGTCTTGGCTTTGGGCGTTTTAGGGCTTGGGGTTTAGGGCTTAGGGCTTGGGGCTTAGGGTTTAGGGTTTTCTTGGTGTGTTGGGAAAAATGACCGGGGAGAGAGAGAGGTCCAAGAGCCTTCCTGCTTTGACGGTATAAAGTCAGATTCTGATAGATTCTGAAGGGCAGTCCGAGGCTTGCAGCAGGTTCGGTGGTTTTACTGGGGGAAGCAGGTCGAGAATAAGTCTGCAGCCTTGTCCTAATGTAGGGGCCTTTATAATTAGAATAGGGTTTTGGAGGTTCCTGATTATAATATATAGTATAGTATACCCCCAAACCCTATTCTAATTATTAAGGCCCCTACATTCGAGGCCCTCCGAATCTTGCATCTTCCTCCGAAGCCGTCGCTTCTGGCCGCCCTGAGCTCTGGTACCGGCATTACCCATAATAAGGCATGTACCATAATTCCCATAGTTTAGGGTCCCTAAGGTACGACTAGTGCAGGATTTATATCATCAACCCTTAACCCTAAGCCCCAAAAGGCGTCCCGAAGCGGAGCCTGCGTCGATCCTCAGGTGGCTCTTCTATCACGAAGGCTCGGGCATTTCGGTATCTACCGACCCCTGGTATCCCTAAGCCCTATAATCCTTGGGCCGGTTTAGGGTTTCAGGGGTTTAGGGTTTAGTAAACCCCGAGAGCTGAAAGGCCCAAGCCCTCACGCCCTCCCCTGCTGGCCTTCTGTGCCCAGATCTTGCCTCAGAGGGGAAGTGCGCCAAAAGCCGTCTGGGGTTTAGAGTTTAGCGTGTGGGGATTAAGGCATTATTTCGAGGATCAGCAAACCTGGCAAGTAAGTTCTTACTCCACTTACACCTACTTATAATCCCTGAGTGAAGCACTTATAGCTTTTAACCCCTATTAAGCCACATAAAGGCCTACTTACTTCAGTCCACTGAACCTCCGTGTAACATAATCGAATTCTGGTGGGGGAAAATGGGGTGGGGGGCTCTGGCCACGTGGTGCATGCTCCGAGTGAGTTCATGTGTATGTGAGGTATGCAATATCTATGTATATTGACATCACTGTATCTATATGTATATGTGTATATACAGTACACACACCTAAATATGTATGCAAGAATGAATGAATGAATGAATGAATGAATGAATGAATGAATGAATGAATGAATGAAATGAATGAATGAATGAATGAATGAATGAATGAAAGTAATTACGATGTTATACATATATACATATACACTCTATATATATATACATACACTCATACTCTGTGTATAGGTATATACAGTGCGTGTATGTGTATATATATATACACACACCCAGATGTGGGTGCGTATCAGCTATCTACGATCTTGAACTAAGGGCCCTAATACTTGGATAAGACCGCGGGGTATAATCGAGCATGCATGTAGTAAGACCTCTGCATAAGCCTTGTCCGCGCCTGCTAATCCCGGACACTTCGTTTTGGGGCCTCGTTTCGGGTTGAGGGGTTTTTCAGGTTTAACCACTACAATCCTGCAGCCGACATCCCCAAAACTCGACCCGGACTGTGAATGCTTTAGGGTTCAGAGTTTAGGGTGTAGGGTTTGGGGGTTTAGGGTTAGGGTTCAGAGTTTAGGGGTTTTGGGTGTAGGGTTCAGGGTTTAGGGTTCAGGGTTAAGGAATTTCTCACGCCGTGCTTCGCGAGGCCCGTCTATGGGGGCCTGAATAGATCAGCAATAGGATCCCCTTATTATAGTCTCTATGTATATCAAAAACACACCAAAGTTTACCCCCGGCCCCTATTTTAACTATCGTCGCACCTCAACAATAGCCTATCCACTGAAACGGAAAGTAGTCCAAGACGGTCTGGTTTGCAGGTTCCAAGTTTGTTCGCAGGGGCGTAATCTAGGAGCCCGATAATTCTAGTCATTCTAGTATAAGCCTATATGAGTTTCAGGAAAGGCTGCTGTAACTCTGCATGAAAATAGGAACTATGGGCTTTGTTCTTCTCCAGACCCACAAGACTCCTGTGCCAAAAAGCCACTACACAAAAAACCTACACTCTACAATCTATACGTATTATGAATCTTTGGGCAGGGGGGAAATCGCGCAACGGAAATGCACCATGCCCTTAGCCTCGCTACGGGTTTTGCGTTTAGGGTTTAGGGTTTCCTAAGCCCCAAACCCTAAACCCCTAATTTAAACCCTAAACCCTAAACCCCAAGCCCTAGCCTCGGTTTGCTCCAAGTTACACGAACCCTAAACCCCGAACCCTGGTTCTACGAAGCCTGATGAAACCCTAAACCCTGAACCCCAAGTTTATGTAAACCCTATCTATCTATCTATCTATCTATCTATCTATCTATCTATCTATCTATCTATATATACTTCAATATATTTCTGTAAATTAGGATCCCTTTTGTTTAGGTCCCCAATAATAATACGGCACCCTTGTAGAAAGGACCCCCAAAAGCATCCTAATTTAGGGAACTACCCTGTTGAGATACAGGAATGAGGTCCTCGCAGATTCGGAAAGGCTTCGTGGAGTTCGAGGTGTCCGCCAAGTGCACCCTGGCATGAGCGTAGCCCTAAAGCCGAAACCCTGGGTTTAGGGGTTAGGGCTTTGGGTCTGGGGGGTTTAGGGTTTAGGGTGGGCTTTACTGGGCTCTTGTTGGGGGGTTTTTAATTAAGTTACCATAATGGGGATCTACAGCAAATAATATTATGGTTTCTTATTAAGGTAACTTAAAATAAGCCCGTAACAGTAACCCAGTAAAACCGAGACTCTAAGCTTCGCGGAAGGCTTAACCTTCAGAACAGTCCCTAGGGTTTTGGGGGGGCATACCATCGTCTCAACATACGGGCAACAGATGCACAGATGTACCACAATTAATGCCTACTAGTTATTCCGACCTCTATAGTATTCGTGAGCAGCCCCAGTTCTTTTCGGACTGCAGCTTCGGGTAAGCTCGCACGACCACGACGGGTACAACGTCTACAGCACATGCATTTCATTCAACCTCATTCGAAAGAACGAACGTCTCGGTCCGCCTCGAAACCTGCGCGGCGCGTGTATTACTGCCGCTCTGCGGTGCCACGCGCTCTGCCTCCGAGGCCAAGCGCCAAGAAGGCCCGAAGCAGCCCCTGGGGCCCTATGCTTCAGGCTGCAGTATCCTAGCGAGGCTGATGGCGCGCTTCGCGCTGCTCATCTCTGAAGAGCTTGGCCCGTGCCAGCACTTCCTCTGTCAGCCGTTGAAGAAGAAACTCCCTCCACATATTGGTGATTCTCGCTCTTTCCCGCTTGGATTTTGCCTTGCCGGACATTGCACATATAGGGAAAGTGGGCGCGACACCATTGCTGTGCTGTTGCCACATCCACTTACAGCACATGCACAGAATAGAACCACCAAAAAGGTATCCTACCATTGCATGAGGCTAAGGTGCTGCATTTCTCAAAGATGGGGTCTGGGTACAGACTCTAGTGTGACCCTCTGACAACTTCAAGGGATACACAGAGACGCCTAGGTAGCCGCCCATTCAGAACATATGGTTCCGCGGTTCAGGCTCTAGGACATTGGGTTTAGGTTCTTGGCCCGGAGCGCGGATCCTCAAAGCTTTAAAGCCCGTAGGGTTCAGGCTCGTTTATGTCCTGATCTGTTTGTCTTAAGCTCCTACGTTAAACCCTTAAACCCTCAACCCCTAAACCCCAATAGGGGTGCAGTTCTTGAGAACGGTCCCTTGTGTTACAAGCTCGCTAAGCCAATAGCAAGCCTCCGTGGAGGACACTCCTATCTTTAGGGTTTAGGGGTTTAGGGTTTAGGCAAGCCTCTGTGTATGTATCAACAAGTCGACACTCCCCCTAAATCGTGACTTAACATGGGGTCCCAGTAGCACGTAATCCTGCCGATCCCGCTCTTAACATACGGGCCTTAATGACTAGAATGGGATATCGGGCCAGAAACAATGAATGTACCCAGGAACCTAACGGGCACGGCTCTAATCCGTAAGACCCAAATTCGACGGCTCTTGGGCCCTACGATGGCTTCTGTTTGCAGCTTCGATAAGACCCGAATGTTCTTGTGCATGCTAAAGGCATCAGGCTCTGCGTGCCAGAGGACGCTTTTGCAAAGTCGTCGCACTTGTTTCAGTGGAGGCGGGGCGACTCCGTGAGCCCCGTAGCTCTCAGTTCTCACTGTCCGACTCGGGGACTGGAGGGTCTCCTCCTCCTGGAGGGCCCCGCAAGTGGCCCGCGCTGCGTCCGAACAGGTACAGTCCACCATCCGGAAGGACTCGCAGCACATGAACTGGTATACGTCCGGATCGCGGACCTCCACGTGAAAAAACTGTTCAGCAGAGCCGTTTCCTCGGCATCGTCGCTGGAGCGGATGCGCCGATTGATCTCGTTCCTCAGATCCTTCTGGGCGCGCTGGAGAAGCGCGTTGAAGGAGTCTGCAGCAGACTGCGCGGTGGAGGTCACGACAAACTTGGCCAACAAACCGTTGCAGAGGTTCAGGAGCTCTGCGTGGCTCTTCTCTTCCGATATCTTGTATACACCCGCCCTCCAGCCTTCTGGCTAGAGTATCGGCTTTAGGGTCTTCAGCAAAGGAACCATACAGAGACTTCCGGGCACCAGGCCCTGTCTCAGCGCAGCTCTGGTCATGAGGCCCGCACTTGTGGGCGAAAGCGTGCAGCAGCCGCCTGCCTCAACTGTAGAACCCAAAAGCCTTCAAGCCCTAAAAAGCCCTGAAGCCCAAACCCCCCTTAAGAGACTGCAGAACCCTAAACCCTAAAACACCCTAAAACCCCAAAAGCCCTCACACCCTAAAACCCCCCCGTCAAAATGAGAGAACCGTGCCGGAGATGACAGGAGGTTGACCAGGATCTGCTTGTTGTTGGTATCCTTGAAGACCTGGGTCTGTTATGTTGAAGAGGGTTTAGGGGTTTAGGGTTTAGGGGTTTTGGGTTCAGTGTTGAGGGTTTAGGGTTTAGGGGTTTAGGGGTTTAGGGTAGGGTTCAGGGACTCCAGGACCCCTTAATTAAGGAATATACCTTAAATCTTATTAGGGGTTCTTATAAAAAAATTGAAGTACATTCGGCCTATTCCTGAATTAAGGGGTTTTGGAGTCTCTTTGGGGCTGAAGGTTCGGAGCCATCATGGCACTTGGAAGGGTTTAGGGTTTAGGGATGTAGGGGTTTAGGGTTCAGTGTTTAGGGGGTTAGGATTTGGCGGTTCAGGGTTGAGGGAGGGTTTAGGGCTTCTCAAAAAAAAACAAGCCTTCCCGAACCTAGTAGAACAGTTAAGGCTTTGAGGTCGTAGTTAAGTCTCAAACAGGGTAATAAACTGGGTTCTTGCTACGGGATTTTATGTAAGTTACCATAATAAAGAAACCATTTTGTTTACTACAGATTCCCATTATGGTAACTTAAATAAAACCCCCTAACAAGACCCCAGTAAAGCCCACCCTAAACCCTAAACCCTAAACCCTAGACCCCAAACCCCTAAACCCCCTTAGAAGAACCCAGTAAAACCCAAATCCCAACTCGGGGTCCCGGGCATCCGTCACCTCGGGGAGCGGGAAGACAGGTTCCTGCAGCGGCAAGAGGGCTTGAAGGACAAAGGCTTAGGTTCAGGGGTGTAGTTTAAGGGTTTAAGGGTTTAGGGTTTAGGTTTAGGGTTTAAGGGTTTGGGGTTTGGGGTTTAAGGGTTTAGGGTTTGGGGTTTAAGGCTTTGGGGATTTGAATTTAAGGTCTAGGGTTTAGGGTCTAAGGCTTATGGAGCTTGAAGTTTAGGCTCCGTGATTTTGGGAGGTCGTCGGCTGAGGGAGCCGATACTAGCCGAGACGACAAAGCTTACCCAGAGACTCCACAACCCCCCCCTATAATTAAGGAATATATACCCTTAAATTAAATCTTATTAGGGGTTCTTACTATAATTTGGGGGGTATATTCCTTAATTAAGGGGTTTTGGAGTCTCTGGGTAGACAGGATGAAAGAAAATCGAGTCCCCACCCCTCCCCGACGCAAACAACGTGTGTGTGAAAGGGGACTTATGTTGGGGTATGTTATGCTTATACGAAGAACCCTGCGAAACAGATTGGTGTTAGGCCGGTGGGAAGAGAGGCTGTCTAGGACGACGTCGCTGAGTGCTTGGACAGGGAAAAAAGTGTCAGGCTTGGCAAAGTGAAGGGCTTAGGCCTGAACATAAACACATAGACCCATATACAGGCTCTGTTGTAGTTCCTTGTTGGCTCAATCCGTTTTTGGGACTACCTTGTTCTAGGACCCTTAATACACACCACAAAAATGGAACTACAATGGAGCCTATAGCTATGGACTCCCAAGCAGAGTTTCGCACAAAACAGGCTAGCTCATCTAGTCAATAGCTCTGCAAGGCTGGCTTTCAGTTTAGGGTTTAGGGTTATAGGGTTTAGGGCTTAACTTTTAGGGGTTTAAGGGTTTAGGGTTTAGGGTTCAGGGTTCAGGGTTCAGGGTTTAGGGTTTAGGGTTTATAGGGTTTATAGGGTTTACAGGGTTTAGGGTTTAGGGTTTGCTCTCGGCGAAGATCATGAATGCCAGCACCCTGAGCCCCTGACGCCCTCAATGGTCGAAACCCTAAGCCTTCGTCCCCGACGCGGGGAATTACCGCCTATACGCCCCAAACATCCCTACACCAAGACCCTAAGGACCCCGAATTACCCTCAACACCCTAACATGCCCTTTAATTTAGGGTTTATGGTTTAAGGTTTGGGGCCCTGGTAGTACCCTTCACAGGAAAAACCCCCAAACCCAAAACTAACCCACCCGTCCCAGCGGAGGAACCTCCTCGTCCTCTTCCACCTGCTCGCGGTAGACGTCGCCTGCCATCTGAAGGACCTGGACAGGTTTAAGTCTGTGGCTTAGGGCTTAGCTCGAAAAAGACGCTGAACCCTATACACCCGACGGTCTACGACGTAGCCTTCAGCAAGAGGAAAGAAGTAGAACACAGACCCTGAAGACCTACCCTCGGCTCCATAGTAGTTCCTTTTTGTGGGTCTGTGTAAAGGATCCAACCCCAAAAAGGAACTGCTCCCTAAACCCTAAACCCTAAATCCTACGACGGTAACCCCAAAAAGGAAATGCTATGGGGTCTCTGGGTCCGAGCCTCCAAACCCGTAAAACCCTTCAGTCAACAGCGGTGACCCTGAAAACAGAAACTCCTAGGGTTTAGAGTTTTAGAGTTTTTGGGTTTAGGGTTTTAGGTTTAAGGTTTACGGCTTTAGGGTTTTAGGGTTTAGGGTTTAGGGCTTTAGGGGTTTAGGGTTTTAGGGCTTAGGGTTTAGGGGTTTAGGGTTTGGGGTTCGCCCCCAAGAATCCCAAGACCCCGACAGCGCAGACATCGGCAAACCTGCCATGACCCCCCCAAACCCAAAAGTTGCCTCCGAGTTCATCTCGTAGAACATCTGTACCTCCCGGAATTATCCGGGCTTGGGGTTGAGCTGAAGATACTTTGGCTGCGGTTTTGGGGAGCGTTAATGCCTCGGGGTTTAGAGAGTTAGACATATGTTGCTTATAGAGTGTTGGGGCCTACAGTAATGGCTCAGCTCGAGTTTAGGGCTTCGTTAGGGTGCCAAGAGGGTGTAGCGCTTCTGTAGGGGCCGAAATAATTAGAATAGGGTTTTGGCGGTTCCTTATGATACTTATGGTATAATGGGCCCAAAACCCTATTCTAATTATTAAGGCCCTTAAACCCTAAACCCTTAATAGTAGCCCTTATAGAACCCTTTAAGGAACCCTTTAAAGGACCCCCCCCCAAAAAACCCTATTCTAATTATTAAGGCCCCTATATTAGGGGCTTAGAGGCTCCCCCCCCAAAAAGGCCGGTGAGAGACTTTTCGGACTTGTTCCTCACTTTGGCCTTGCGTTGGGGCCGAAAGGGTTTAGGGCCTTCGGGCCTTAGGGCCTTACAGTTTAGGGCCTGAGGGTTTAGGGTTTAGGGCCTTGGGGTTTAGGGCCTTAGGGCCTTAGGTTTGAGGGTTTAGGGCCTTAGGGGCTTAGGCATTAGGGTTTTAGGGTTTAGAGCCTTAGGGCCTTAGGGTTTAGGGTTTACCCGATCATTTTGGAGGTGGAGTGCAAGGTCTGGTTGATGTAAATAGTAGCTACTAGTACTATATGCTATAATTATTAAATAATAAGGAACACCCCAGAAGGAATAAAAAGGTCGTTATTGAGGCCCCTATATTATCGCCGGCAAGACGATGAGGGCCCGAGCTGACCGAGTTTAGGGCTTCATGGGTTTAGGGTCTTATGGGTTGAGGGTGTTTAAGGGTTTAGGATTTTTGCTTTAGGGTGTTGGCGCGCTTTTTTTTTGGGTTTTGGGCTTAATGCAGGCAAATCTATGGCGGTGGACTGCTAAGCGCTGTAACCGCCGAGAAGAGGGGGAGGATGCTAGAAGTCCTGAAGTTAAAGCCCCTCATAACGCTGTCAGCCCGAACCCTCGCCCGAAGTCCAAGCCCGAAAGCCCGAAAGCTCATAAAAAAAAACTAGAGCACCGAATGGAACCGAACACCAACACCAGATCTTAGGGGCTGAGTACCCTAGCCCAAAAAAAACTTAACCTTTCAATTATTATGGTAGGATTATATAAGCACAACAAGGTTAAAGGTTACCTACTCAGCTACTAGGAGATCAAGATCTAAAGCTAGACCTTGGGCACATGGAACCGAATTGCAGCATCCACAAGTCGCGCCTTCTTCACGCTCTGAAAATGCTGTGCCTGAGCTGATGCACAGCACCCTTTCCCGTAAGGAGGAAAGGTGATTTCTACGGTTGATGATATAAATCCTTAGGGTCCTTAAAGTAATGCAGGATTTATATCATCAACAGCAGTGCTACAGGCACCACCTGGACCCTGGATTGCCCTAGATGGCTTACCTTTTAAGAATTCATATTATAAGGAAATCCTAACAAACAAGGAGCCACAACAAGGTAGAGAGTATAGAGTCTACAGGGTGGGCAGACTTGAGTTTCACCAACTCAGAGCTGAGCAGCGCTTCTTGACAGAATGCCCGTGTGCACGGGCTTCCTCGAACCAGGCCCGCAGAGCCTTCTGCACACCAGGGAAGGCAGACTTCTTGCCGCCTCCACTCAGACGCCAGCCACGGCCTGACTTTTTCACGCCCTTCGCCAGAGCCTCTTCACAAACTTCCGGTCCATGCCTAGCTTCCTGCTCATGGCTGCAGAGAAGTCCTGTTCAGAAGCAAAAGCAGGCAGCTCTGACTCCATTCGCTTCAGAATCTTTGCTTGCACTGCCAGAGGCATCTCTGCTTGCCGCAGGTAGTATTAGACTGCTTGTCTCTGGATGCCATGAAGCCCGGCCTTAACGGAAGCCCACAGACGACTAAACGGTTTAGGGTTTTAGGGTTTTAGGGTTTAGGGTTACAGGCAGCAAAAAGCTCCAACATTGAAACTTCCGAAAGTGTCAGCTCGAATCTCTCAAAGTCTCTGTAGAAAAGTCCTCTGACAGACCCTAAACCCTAGACCCTAAAGCCCTGAAGCCCTAAACCCTTTCTAAACATCCGTATATAAGATGAAGGCCTCTGGATGTTATACCTTTTCTTACGGTCCTACGGTTGATGATATAAATCCTGCATTACCTTAAGGACCCTAAACTCTGCGAATTATGGTATATTCCTTATCATGGGTAATGCAGGATTTATGTCATCAACAGTAGGGCTCCTAGGAATTAGGATTCCGAGTGTATGAACCTTCAGCCCTAAACACCAAATCCGTAATGCAGGGGCCTTACTACTTCGAGTAGGGTTTTGGTGTATATAGTGTAATATTAAGGAACTCCAAAGTAGTATACGTAATTGCTAAGGCTGCTATAGTAAGCCGCCTTCGGCAAGAGCGGCATGTACGTACGTAGCGGTTTTCGGTCAGGTGCCTAGAGCTTGCGGTGCTCTAAGGGTTTAGGGCTTAGCGGCTTAGGGTTTAGAAATGTTTTGGGTTTCGGGTCTTGGGTCGGATTCCAAACTTCTCTGCTCAACCTGAGTATCCTGGCCGTATCCGTGTTGAGGATGGCAGCAATCACCACCTGACAGGGAACTGGCACAGGGCAACTCCTGAGAAACCACATGGCAATGGGATATCCCATAATCCCACCTTGAACGTAGCAGGGCACCCCTACTCGAAATGTTAACCTCGAGTGCTTGCTGCGGCGAAAGGATATGAACAGACTTTCGGCTTCCACAAGGTATCTAAGACTATGGCCCTGCAGCAGTCCATATACTGACACCCCCAGCCCCTGAATCCACCGAAAAAAAAATCGTCCTAACAGCCCTCAGGACGCAGCTAAGCAAATCAGGCAATCGGCACCAATCCCTCGAAAAAGATATCGAGGCCCTTTCAGAAAATTACCAATTAAAGCACTGAAGAATACAAAGACTCTACCAAAGCATTGCCCCAAAACAGGTCCTGTGAAAAGGGGTTTGAGGGAATGAAGTTTGTCCAAAACCCTAAACCCCCAACCCCTAAACCCCTAACCCCTCAACCCAAAACCCTAAACCCCTAAAACACCCAACCCCTAAACCCTAAACCCCTAAACCCCTAAACTCCTAAACCCCTAACCCCTAAACCACAAGGGCTGCGTGTGGGGCTTTAGAACGGTTCCGTTTTGGGACAGCACCACCAGGATCGAGGTTCCTCAGTAGCCCCTTTTCTTATATTAGAGGTTTAGGGGTTTAGGGCTTTAGGGTTTAGGGTATAGGGGTCTAGGGTTTAGGGGTTTAGGAATGCACTAAACCCTAAACCCAAAAAGGAAGTGCTTGCCGCACCTTGCCTGAAATGTTGGCTTCTTTGAGAGGCGCTTTGACGGCTTTCCGAAACGCTCTCGCGACGGGCTGGGCATCTGGCAAGCCCCTCTTGCCAGGAATGGAATCGCAGAAGGCAGCCTCCCTAAACCCTAAACCCCTAAACCGAGTCTCCGTTCTTATGTCCGGAGCAATGTGACTTTCACTCCAGGAGATGTTTCCAGCTTCGCGCAAACAGCAATTCCGGCATGGAAATGACCAAGTCGAAGCCCATCTTGGAACGAGGGCCGTCGCAGGAGAGCGCCCTGACCGCTGTACGGTCAAAAGGGATTTCCGCTCTGAGCCCGTCCTGGCCCTTCTCACTCCGCCACTGACATAACGAAAAGAGCTTCGCCTCCCAACATGTGGAAGGCAGTCATCAAGTCACAGCGATCGATCCTCAGCCCCAAACCAATCAATGAGTGCACAGTACCTCTTTTTCCTACTCTTCGACGTTAATAAGGAAGCCCCAAAAGCAAAAAAGGGGCCAAAAGCGCACAGACCTAGGGATTTAAAGGGCCCTCTCTTTCCTACTCTTCGACGTTAATAAGGAAGCCCCAAAAGCAAAAAAGGGCAAAAGGGCACAGACCTTGGGATTCATTCGGTTTCAGTGCTTGTTCTCAGTCTCAAGATCCGTTCAAAAAGGAGCGGGTGGATACGGGCTTCAGATGAGGGGCCTCGGGTCACTACAGGTCTACGGGTTTAGGGGTTTCGGGATTAGGGATCAATGCTGGATAAAGGATCTAATTTAAGTTACCATAATGGGGATGTATAGTAA